GTATTTTCATACCAAATTAAAGTCTTCACATCATTCCCTCAGTTTAGTTTTGATGCAATTTACAGCTTCTCGGTGATGCTGTTGTTTCAATCAGCCTATCAAAGCTCTGCTTCTTGAAAATTTACTTATCGTATTTTACCCTTGCAGGTGGTCTGTTTCCCGAACAACTCGATGTTGCATTCAATGAGCGCATCGAAACAATTAGGGCGGCCATCGCAGCCCAGCGTATTAGCCTCTTGAAGTTACGAACTGGTACGACATCGTCATCCATTGGTACATCTGGAGGTTCTTCCTCTCTTTCTTGTCTCCAATCTACCTTCGCCACAAATAGAGAAGTACTTCCTGTCTGTGCACCCAATTTTCTGCGCAAGACTTCCTTCAGCACTGCCACTGCAAAGCCTGGTTTGGCTACCGCTTATTCCACCCCTGCTTCAAACTCGACCGATTTTGAGTTGCCCAGCGCGAATATTGCGACACCTTCATCCACAACATTTGAATCCAAGAATTCACTGCCCAGCCTCACAAACGTTGAGCCTGCCGACCTATCCAAGCCTACGGCGTCTGGAGCAGGGTTTGAAAGTCGTGAAAGTAACACGGATTCTGCAATGAACAACGAAAACCTGGACAGAGGTGAAATGGAAAACTATGACTCTTCTCAAGACCTACACGGACCGTCTCGACAGAGCATAGAGGATCAGCATACCAACTGCCAATCCGTGTTTCCCATTCGACCCACTGGCCGCTGCCGGCCCAGACGGCGACGCAAGGCAAAGTGCCGATTTAGAGCTGATGGAACTGCATCATGGCCGAAATTAAGGAATTCTCGCCATCGTATTACTAGCCACCAAAGGCTAATGCATATGCCAAACGTGCCCGACCTCCTACTAGCTCGTCTTTTTGGACTTAAATCTCCGGGTAGGATTTTGCTATCATCATTTCAATTTGTTATTCTCTTTTATTCTTCGTTTTTACCAGTCCTCCTCCGCTCTACTCCCTATCTAGCACTCATTTAATTGATCTTCTATTTCCTGTCCATTTAATCCCGAAAGCTTGAGTCTTGGCTAGGTCTGTGATACTCTGAGTGAATTTTTAGCCATATTCAATGTAGCAAAGTTGATTTTCAATCAGTTATAAGAAAGTTCTTAGCAATAACATATCTTTTCTACTGCATTACTAAATTTTTTGATCGATCCTAGCTTGTTTTTCACATTAACTCTTAATATATCGCCCCCAATGAGTACAGTAAGTAACAAATTCTTCCATTACTAAGGCGAAAAATAGTTATTAATATTCTTAAGCTTATTGCCTCCTTGAGTCAAGGTCGCTTCTGAAGTTGTCGATAATTCGTACCTCTGCTAGTGATTTAGCTTAGTCCAGAGGCTAAGCCATACGATTCATTAAGTGTATTCCTGGCTTCCTTATTAACAACACGAACAAGGGGTGTTCTAACTGTTTTCACTTTTTGAAGAAGGCTTAATTAATCGAGTCCGTAAAGCATATCCTTTAAGCGACGCGCTTGTGCCAGTCCTCCTGCTGCTGTATCATTAAAGCATCTAAAAACGCTATTCGGTCGGCTCACTCCCCTTCCTATGCTGAGGCAACTCTAGATTGACAAAAATGACTTATCATCTTATTGGCCTTCTACATTGTCATCGCTGCAACGAAAATTAATCAGCAAAATAGTGGCAGTACGGCTTTATCTTGACAATCCTTAATCTATCTTTTAATGGGACTTAATGGTTGTGAATTTCTACCCCGACGTTTCAGTAATAAAGTTAGAGACAGGTTAACATTTTACCTCTATCCTTAAGAGTCGCGTAAATTGCAAGACTTTTTATTTCCCTTCATATCGTACCTTATATACTTCCAATCCCAGAAAAGCACCTTACTCAATTCTACGACGCAAAAGAGTATGAAATAGTCAAAAAATAATTGTCAATTTAAGTAATTTTTTGAGACCATCAGTAATTCTTGAATATGGGCTTAGCAAACTTAGGCTGCTTAAGGTGGCTAATAATTCAGTTTTCCTATAATTATATGAATAGGCCTCACGATGCCACCTATCTAAAGTATGAAGATCAAGATGGTGTTGTCTTTTGTGGAGTAGCAATCTCCTTTGGTTGTATAAAAGTTGTTTGATCTTGTTTGTGCAGCTTGGTCATATTGTCAGGAAGACTTAGAAGATGCTCCTAGTCCGGAGTCTTTAGTATGCATGCTAATTTCTAGATTTGGACCGTGGATGTGGTACAATTCTAGACGTTTCGCCGGCATCGTAGTCGGCATCATAAGTGAGCATTGCCAGTCTTATCAACACACTACAACTCTTCAAAGAGACAAGTAAACCCGATCATTTGACCAATTTCTGCTAAGCAATCGTGGTATCTCTACTTCCGCCCTGGTCTATCACCAATCCTATATTCTCACATCACGACTTTACTATCAGAATTTTTATTTGCTTATTTAAATGTGGTATGGTGTTTCATTTTGAGCAGCTTTAATGAGAACTTTCCACACCTCACGCGGGTTTTCTCACTCTCTTCATCCCCCTTCACCCTTACGCTGGGAATTTTGATTAGTCTGCTCTATTGTTACGCCGTCCTCCTTCCATAGGCCTTATCAGTCTCCCTCCTGCCCCATAGGATCCGTCTGATAGCCCCCTGGTTTAAGCATTTCACTCGACCCCTGCCATCTCATCTGTGCTACTCGAGGCGCTATTTACCACACTCTGCGTCGGCTAGACTAACTTGAGGGTAAAGCCCAAGCGTAATTCTCATAGTCAAGCCTTTTTATAATGGACGACGTCTATGATCAAACAGGCCTACTGTCAGCCAACTAATTCTGGTCTTCGCCGTGTCTATCCTGTTTCAACCCACAAATGTTTTGGTACTGCTTGCTTTGATTAGGTTGAACGTTGAACCACAACAATTGTAACATTCGTAACAATAGAGCAGACTCTGATCAACATTACCAGCACAAAGGTGAAGGGAGGTGAACGGGGATTAGAAAGCTAGCGTAGAGTGTGGAGAGTTCTCATAAAAGCTGCTCAAAAGGGCACGCCATACGACATTTAAATAAGCAGGTAAAGAAGGTGATAATGATGGCGTGATACGAGGTTATAGGATTGGTGATTAGCCAAGGGCGAAGGGAGAGATACCACGATTGTTTAGCAGACAATTGGTCAAAGGGTCGGCTTCACTTGTCTCTTATGCGTTGTAGTTTGGTGCTAAGACTGGCAAGACTCATTGATGATGCCTGCAAAACCTCTGGAAATGTTCCACGTCCATGGTCTAACTCTAGAAATTTGCATGCATACTATTGACTCCGGATTAGGATCGCTCCTCTAAGTCTTCCTACCAATATGACCAAGTTGTGAAAACACTTGCAAACAACTTCTATACAACCAAAGGAGACCGACCACACAAAAGGCCACACCATCTTCGATTGCATACCTTCGATTAAGTTAGTCTCGCTTCTTTGCCAAATCTGTTTTCTAAACTGCTATTCAACGATTGATTCTATTGTACTTGAAAGATCAGTATTGAAACTAATAATTGTGAAACGAATTGAAAGGTTCGAATCCGTTAACTTTAATGTCTTTTAGCTTCTTATATGCTTCTTCTTGTCTGTACGAATTGTCTAAATTCATTCGAGAGAAAATTTGAGGTTCTGAAAATTTTTTTTATTACTCATGCTTTATAAATGCATCAGGTTCATGTTCATATTTATTTATTATTACCTTGCTGTCATCATTATTCTCGC